GTTAGGGCTGAGCACGACCTAACCCATCTCCCGTTTAGGAGCTGGTGTGAGCATTGCATAAAAGGCAAAGCCACGGAGGATTTCCACAGAAAGCGTGAAGAAGAGAAGAAGGATGATGCAGCAAGGTACTGCATCGACTACTGCTTATTTACGAAGTCGTTTGCTCAGGACCACAGGGCCACCAAGGCCGATGAGTTCAAGGAGGCGCGCGCGGAGTCCAAGGCAGTCCTTGTTTGCAGGGATCAGAAGTCTGGTGCTTTGTTCGCAGGTGTTGCAAACACCAAGGGCTCAGGGGATGTGTGTTCGGTTGCTCTTGCGCTTGAGGGTTCGAAGTTTTGTGGTCATCCTAACGTTCTTTTGGTGAATGACACGGAACCCGCCATTAGGAGCGTAGCAGATGAACTCGTGAAGCAGTACCCCAAGAAAGCCACTGCCCAGCCGGTTCCCAAGAACGACCCCCAAGCCAACGGTGCTGCAGAGAGAGCGGTGCTTGAACTAGGAAACCAGGTGAGAACGGTGAAGGTAGCCTTTGAAAGCAGGTACCCCACCGTCAAGGTTACTGAAGAGTCTGTTGTTTTTTCGTGGTTGGTTAGGCACGCGGCTTGGTTGTGTACCTGGTTTGGGGTCAAGCAAGACGGAAGAACAGCCTACGAAAGGCTGCGGAACCGGTCTTACAAGGGTTCGGTGAGATTGTTATGTACAAGATTTCAAATCAAGGGCTTCGCAAGCTTGATGAGAAGTGGAGTTGTGGGGTTTGGTTGGAAAAGAGCTTGAACAACGATGATTACTTTGTTGCCACGGCGGATGGGATTCAGAGGTGTAGGTCCGTGAGGCGGAGGGTTGAGAGCAAAAGGTTTGACCCTACGTTTGTCAATAAGATGACAGGGTTGCCTTGACAGCCTCGGCGCGCCCCCGAGCGCACGCCACTTGCGCCGGGACAGCCGTCGCCGAAGACACGGTTGGAAGGCGTGGTTTCGAAGCCCCGCGGAGTCTACATCACGGCAGAGAGGCAGATCAAGCATGGTCGCACGCGTCCGGGCTGCGATGTTCCCTACGGGGACGCGCCGGGCAAGCACAACACGGAGTGCCGCGAACGGTTCACAAAGCTGGCAGAGGCCGAGAACAAGAAAGCTGAAGCCGCACCGGGGAGGACCTCCTCTCGTAGCGCAGGTGAGGGCCTGGATGGGTCTTTAGGATGGCCGTCAGGCCATGGAGGGGATGTTCCGATGGGTGCCGACGACGGCCCCTCAGATAAAGGCCGGGGAAGAGGGAAGCGAGTCCGCCGCACGGACGGCGACCGCGCCAAGGAGCAAGGTCCTCGACCTCGCCTGTTGGTACTCCCGAGTCCCCCAGGAGCCCAGGGGCCGATGGCCCACCAGCGGAAGAAGAAGAGGAGGAGTTCGTGGCAGGCCTGCCGACCATCCATGTGTGCAGCATCATCACAGAAGAGCCCCCCGACGAAAAGAGGAGAAGGTATTTCGACGAAAGGACCGGCGAGGAGCTGGGCCAGGAGATGGTGAAGAAAGGAAGAGAAAAGGAAATGGACAAGATGAAGGCTTTTGAGGTCAAGGGCGATATCTCCTATGAGGAGGCAAGGAAGAAAGGATTGAGACTTGTGAGGTCGAGGTGGATTGACACAGCAAAGGAGATTGAAGGAAAGCCTGGTGTGAGGAGCCGCCTTGTGGCACAGGAGGTGAACACCTACAAAAGAGAGGATGTTTCGATGGGGACCCCAGCGGTCCGTGTTCACAGGGCTGTGATATCCCACGCGGCCACAGCGAAGCCAGGGCAGAAGGAGAGCCGAAAGCTGGTTGGGAGGTACGATGTCAGCGTGGCATTTTTCCACGCCGACAACAGCGAAAAGATCGGTGTGATACCCCCTGCCTCCGAAGGGACTCCCAACGTCATCTGGAAGCTGCACAAGGCGATGAATGGAACGAGAGAAGCCTCGCGCCAATGGGCCAAGATCAGAGAGTGTGCCCGAACACCTACTACTGGGAGGTTGAGGATTTGGCGCTCAGTTGCCATGGGGATGATTTCCTAGCAAGCGGGGAGCGTGAAGCTCTGGACAAGCTTGACGAGATCATGAAGAAGAACTACGAGGTGAAGATCTTGCCAAGGATCGGGAACCCTCTTTATGGAGGGGGGACCACAGAAGGAAAGCACCTGGGACGTGTGATCAAGTGGACAGGAGAAGGGTATACTTGGGAGTGTGACCCCAAGTACAGCCCACTGGTCGTTGAGGAGCTTGGGCTTCAAGGGTGCAAGGGTGTAGACACACCTGCGTCGAAGGCCACAGGCGTTGGAAACAGGGACGCACAGAAGGAGCTGGAACCGCAAAGAGCCGAGATCTTCAGACGAGTGGCTGGAACCATTCTTTACATGTCAGTCGACAGACCCACGCTGCAGTTTGCAGCGAGCGAGCTGGCAGAAGGGATGGTTAAGCCCCTGGAGATTCTCAAACGCATTGGCAAGTACATTGCGAAGTTTCCTGTTGAACGTTGGCACTTTGATTTGCAGGAGGCCCCTTCGACCCTTGAGTCCTTTAGTGACTCAGACTGGGCCACGAACAAGGAAAACAGAAGGTCCAGGAGTTCCACGTACCAGAGGTTCGGCAAGCACTTGCTGGACTGTTGTTGCGGCAGACGGAGCCTAGTGGCTCTCTCCTCTGGCGAGGCGGAATTCTACGCGATGGTCAAGACCGCGGCAGAAGGCAAGCTTATATCAGAGATCCTCAGGCACTTTGGGTGGCGAATCCATCACCGAGTTCTCAGCGACAGCTCGGCAGCGCGCTCCATGGCGCAGAGGGTAGGCTGTGGAAAGGTGAAACACCTCAGCCTGAAGCAGATGTGGATACAACAATCCGTAAGAGACAAAGAACTCAGCATAGGGAAGGTGGACACACTGATGAACCTGGCCGACCTCGGCACGAAGGCTCTACAGTCGTCCCGCCTAGACTCCCTAGTGAGGCAGCTGCTCTTGGAAAGGGGTTTGCTGGCAGCTGTGGTGGCCAGTTGCCTGACAATGGCGCAGGCAACCGAAAGCCAAGGGACTGGGTTCTTAGTTGCGGTGGATTGGTATATCATCATGGTTCATGTCTTGGCCTTGGTTGGGTTATGGTTTCTCATGGTCACGGCAGGCGGTTTAGTTTTGTCTTTTGGGCGTTCGCTTAGCAGAGGTCTTCAGGGATGGGGCGGTAGGCCCGAGTCTCCTGTAGATCTTGATGACATGGCACGCCGCAGATCTTCGAGTACTGGTGTGGAGTCTTCTGGTGAACAAAGAGATTCTGCATCGGTGGCACACCGCAGATCGTCGAGTACTGTTGTGGAGTCCTCTGGTGAGCAAAAAGATTCTGCATCGGTGGTTTCAAGTCCAGGGTCCTTCTCATGAACTGAGACAGCGGACCGGAGTCGGCGAGCCTGCAAGAGGAAGTGGTTTTGGCGAGGAAGCCAGAGTGGTGCGTAAGACACTGGCCTTGCTGCCAGTTGGAGAGTTGAGGGAAGCACTTCGTGAGGAAGGTCTTCCGGTTTCTGGGCTGAAGGGCGACTTGGTGAACAGGTTGTCCTTGGATTTCCTCGAGTCGGGTACTGGTCAGCAGCACCAGGAGATCGACAAGCCCAGCGTGAAGCAACTCCGTTACGTACTGTGGATCACCAAGCGTGTTTCAAGTGCAAGGATCCGGTACAGCATTCTGAAGTCCAAGACGGCGACCTGAGAGTGGATAGCCTGCAACAAGCCTGAGTAGAGCTCGGCTGCTTTGCGGAAGGTCACCGACCCTCTACGTGAGCTGGGGTGACAGACTGAAGGCGGAAAGCTAGCAGGGTCGAATAGGCAGGTTCAGTAGCAACAGCTCCTGAAGCGGAGCAGTTCTTCCTGTGGAGGGGTGTCAAGAATATAAGCCTATTCGGAGTGCACCCGTGCCAGGTACCAGCACGGAGTGTGAATGCAGGTGCTGTGTGCAGCCCTTTTCCAGATCGAGCGAGCAGCGCCGGAAGTCAAAAGGTGTTGCTGGTGGTTGGTTGGTTAAGGTAACCTGCAGCGAGGCATCGTCGTAGCAGTACGAACATGACCGTGTGCCCGGCGTTTGTCCGTTGCTGCTGTTGTTGCGATCGTTGGTCCGCGCCTGCTTTTGCAGATCAGCTTCTTCTTTTTTGCTCGGTGCTCTTTGTGTTTTCAATCTTTGTGGGACCGAGCATGTGGATATCTGTTGTCTGGACAGTTCGCGCTTGTCGAAGGTGATTCTGGAAGGATGCTGCTTTGTGCAGGGCCCTGCCCATCTTCTCCAGGGGATAGTCGAGATGTGGCTGAGGTCGGACACCTTTGATGGCCGCTGCCAGTCTCGGGGACACGGAGATTCTGGCGACGCTTCTGAACAGGGGCGCAGACAAGGACGCCGCACCAACATTGCTTGTGAGTCCTGTTCCTTTCATGGGCTTTGGTGCACTGCATTGTCTAGGATGTTTTTCGGCAGCCACATTGCACCTCATTTATGCAGCAGTGGATCGTCTAAGCACTCGTCTTGAGTCGCTTTTCCGTAACGTGAGCACAGCTGTTTCTTTCATGTCACGACATGCAGAACGCATCGCAGAGCTCTCCCAGTCCTCTGTCGCCAGCCCTGTCCATCATTGAGCTTTCGTCCCACTGCGTGGCTCCCAAGTCTGTGATAATCGTAGCATTCCGAACTCCTTACCGACGCACCCAACCCTTCCAAACCCCATCCTCGGAGCTCCGAGTCCCCTGCCGAGCCTGAGCCTGCCAGGACGCAAC